GAGCAACATCAACATAACGAAAAACTTTAATTTTCTAACTTAAAATAATTTAAAAATAACCTCATAGTAAATAAAGCTTATTATTGAGCGCTAAAACCCTCGCTGTTGACGCGCTCTATAAATCAACACCCCCTCTCTCTCCCACTCTCTCTCTCTCTCTAAAAAAAAAAAAAAAAAAAAAAAAAAAAAAAAAAAAAAAAAAAAAAATACAAGAAATCAATCATATTCAAATCTAAGAATGTCACTCTATCTAAAAAAGAAAACATTCGACCAATGTATTACTAGTTATGACCTATGCATACGAAAACTGGACACACTTAAACAGACATCATAAAGGAAACTGCAGGTCGCTCGGCAACTCAACGGAAAGAAATATGCTGGCAATAACCAAGAGAGACCGTAAAGAATAGATTGGATGCGACAAAAGACCCAGGTAATTGATGTCATCCGCAGAATCAAATTCCTTATGTGGCAATGGGCAGGATATTTGGCAAGAAGAACGGACAGCAGATGGACCACAAAATGACAGAATGGTGCAAGAAATTAAAAGACCTAGAAGTAATCTGTACCTAAGATGGAACCATGATAGAGGCATGTTTTTAAGTAAAGTAACCATTTTGAATTAAAAAAAAAACATTGCAAAGAGTATCATAATAATTTTATTTTACATGAAAGCCTGTAACTTAATCTACTTTTCTACATAATTCCCGTGAATATTGAGGCACTTGTTATAATGTGGCACCAGTTTTTCAATACCCTCCTCATAAAATTCTGCCGCCTGACTGGTTAACCACTGTATCACAACTGTTTTGACTTCGTTATCGTCTTAAGACGCTGACCGCCCAGGTTTTTCTTCAAGTGCAGGAATCAGTGTTGTATGGAGGATGATCTAAAGTTTCCCATTTAAAAGATTTGATGAGATCTTTGGTCCGATTATATGTGGACGGGCATTGTCATGCAACAAAACAATACCCTTACTCAACTTATCCACGTCTTTTGTTTTGGATTGCACGGCGCAGTTTGTTCAATGTCTCACAATAAGATACTGCATTGATTGTCTCATTAAGAGGCAGAAACTCCACTAGCAAGCAATACTCCTTTTCTGTCCCAAAGAACTGTGCACATGATTTTTCCGGGCAGAAATTGTTTGCAACTTCACTGTTTTGGGTGATGATGAATGTCGCCATTCCATTGACTGTTGTTTCGATTCTGGTGTGACGTAGGCCACCCATGTTTCAAATCTCAGTAACAATTTGTCTAAAAATCTTCACCTTCATTGTGCATTTTCTCAAGGAAAATACACTGCTTTAAACGTTGGGTTTTTGTGCAAATCCGTCAACATTTTTGGAACCCAACGTGAACACAATTTCCGGTTATTCAAGTTCTCGGTCACAATACGATACAAAACACTACGAGAACGTTGAGGAAAGTAGTCGCACAATGATGAAATTATAAAGCGTCTGTTTTCTTACACCTTTTCGTCCACTTTATGCACCAAATCTTCATTAAAGACCGAAGGACGCCCACTACGTTCTTCATCATGCACATTCGTGCAGCCATCTTTAAATGCTCTCACCCGTTTCCTTACCATTCCATCACTCATAATGTTTTGTCCGTAAACTCCACAGATCTCACGATGAATATCGATCGGTTTGCGCCTTTGGCTTTAAAGAAATCATATGACCCGTATGAAACCCAATCGGCGGGAATAAAGTTGTCAGGCATCTTAAGCACTCCGTAAACAACGTACTCTGGCTGAAATCAGACTGTACTGGCGTCTGTGCATAGACAAGAGATGTAGGTAACCAGCGCGCATGCGCGGAACGCCGACCGTAGCGCTGCGGCGGCGGAATCGCAAAACGGTACTTACTTAAAAGACATGCCTCGTATTAGGAAATTAACAGGGATAACTTGGACTCGCATAACCAAAAATAGATAACAATGGGCCCAACTACAAAGAGAGTATGTAAGGGAGGTTACACGATAATTGAAAATGGCTGAATAAACTAAAAATGATGATAATGATGATGACATGTCTCTTCAAAATACTATTAATGTTACCTATATAGAGTACGTGCCTTTGTGTAAAAAATTAAATTTTCAAAAAATGCTGTTTTTCTTAAACCTATCATCGTCGAGAATCGCCTTGTATAAATTACATTTATTTAATAAGACAGAAAACGTATGCTTACAAAGCGGATTGTTCCGCATAAAACAAATTTATGTCGGTAAATGAATTATACTCCTAAAAAGAAAAATAGAAATAAAACATCTGGAACGCAAAAGGCGCAGAGACTATAATAAAACCTAAATGTAATAAAATATAGGTCAAAGAAGCCCGCATTATATTGCTCTTAGATACAAATTGCTTCTGTCGGATGAGATTAAACTTACTTTTAGATATCAAACGTTTCACAGAAAATTAAGAGGAGAAGAAAAACCTTTGAACGCTTGGAAATTCGCACATTATTTAAATTAAACTAAATTAAGGATTTTTGAAGTGTTCGTATAATTTGATTGTGCCTTACGATCGAAAAGAAATGACATCGCCGTTGGCTTGGAAATAGTCATGGGTATTGGGATTCTTTTCAATATGATAAATTGTATTGAATTAAACGATTCAATTTCTCAATATCGAAAGATGCGTATGATTTATCCTAAAAACACGAAATATCCATCTTATCCGATAATCAAACCATCAATTCGAAGTTGCTCAAAGAATGCCTAGAGAAACAGAGTCCTACTCTGCTTCTTTAGGAAGAAAGGAAGTCCTACTCTGGGTTCCCGTTCACCAAGGGATAGAAGACAATTAAAAAGCAAACGATCTATCTAGAAAAGGAGCGAACACTCCACTAACTGGACCAGAGAAGTTCTGCTTTCCAAGCGGAAACCAGCTTAAAGCGGAACTGAAGAACCTGGAGAGCCCTATCCGTAACCTGGAATGGGAATCATCCAAAGGTCTAAGACACTCGAAAATTTTCCTCAGAACCGAGAAAAATCAAAGATTTTCCTTGATTTAAGCATATGGAGGTATTCTCTTTTGAAGAAGTCACTAACGTTTTTTCGTAATTTTTATACTAAAACCATGTATTTGCTTTTGATTTGGTTTGGTCCTAGTCAACAAACCTGTGAAATAGTATTTATGATTATATAAAGTCACTGTCACTGAAAAATAATAATATTATTGTCTGGTGCACAGTACTCTAGCAGAGAGGGTTTTATTGAAGATGATAGAGATCCAAATTAACCAGATTGACCACCACATAGCGCAGATCTAGTATAGATTAGTATAATCTCCAGAGATCCAGTATAGGTTAGAATAGAAAATAGAAAATAGAATGAGTCAGAGGGGGGTTAATCACTGCGGCCTTAAAGATTTATTGTGCCCCCTTCCTTGAGTCATCACACAGTCTATAACCCATCATACCCCTGTTGTAGAGGGGACATGGTATTTCCCATCCTCCTCTGACAACAGTTCTTCCTCCGAGGGTACACAACCTTCCACGGTTGGAGTTTGGCCCTCCGTGCCGCTCTTCACAGTGGAGGAGCTTGCCTCCGGCTGAGGAACCCGTTAGGTGGAGGCTGGAGGATCTGTCTCCATTTTCTCCACCTCTTTAACTTAACTCTCTCCTTGGACCTGATACCGGTGTTATCCCGTATCTATAATAGAGGATATGTCCCTCTATCTCTATTGCCTCCTTGGATTTGAGGTCAATTCCTATTGTGAGGACCTGACCATGACCCTCCTCCCTCGAGTTGATGACTCGCCAATTCGATGTCCTTACATTGAAGTTCTGACCCTGGATAAGGCTGGATAAGGCTGAGCAGGTAGGTGGTGTCTTTCCCCTTGCTCCTCGGCAAAAAGACTGTGATGGACACTCCTTTAGGGATGTTTTCTCCCTTCACTGTAACCAGTTCCGGCCCCTGACAATTTTTAAGCATAGGTGCGATTTCCACCAACCAATTTGTCGATTCTTAAGATACACAATCTATGAGGATCATGCCCACCCAAAAGTGTATCCACGCTAAACGCAGCTGACCCACATTTTGTAGATCGTTGTGTCGCGATCCGATCGCCACTCTTTCGTCCAGTATAGCCTCTTCTAGGAAATCCCTGGGAAAACCAACCCGCCATTTTCACTTGTCCAGCAATAGCGGCAAAGCTGGTGATACGTCCCTGCTTGCCTTCCGGTGTTGGGCGGTTTTCTCTCCTAGCTTTTTTCTCTACCCACCGGAGAAGAGGTGAGAGGTTCTCGCTTCCTCTCTTGCCCTTTGATGGAGATGAGTCAGGTTGTTTCTTGGTTTCTTTACTCTCCCCTTTTCGGAGAAGTGTTTTCGCTTTTGCTTCCTCTGGAGCGAGTCCTTCGTGGAGCAGTCGGAGGTATCTCCGTGCTTCTGCTCTGCTAAGACCTATTCTCAGAAGATCGTCTAGTATAGGTTAGTATAATAGAAAAATTATGAGATATTAAAGTGGTTTCCAAAAATGTAATAATATACCGCCGTATTCCATTTAAAATAATAAAGATCCTACCACTTTTGATGCGGCAAGATTGTAACTCTCATTGTAATTTCAAATATTTTAAACAGATGGAACAGGTGTCTTTATATAAAAATGCAAACTTTCAAGTCATCAGTTCTCCATAAAGGTCTAACGTGCCATCACGGTGAATCACCCTATATACGTTACCACATTGACGTATGGAAAAAATTATTACAGTTAACTATTTTATTTTTATATAAAATTTTGCATGACAATATTGTTTGTTTTACTTTAACGGCACGGATTTTCCGACAGGTGATAAAATATCAATTTTATCGATACCTTTTTAAATGTTATTTTTAACGATGACACATTTCGTATATACAAACCACCTTTTATAAGTTATCCTCACCTTGAGTTCCTCGTAAAATTGAAAAGTTAAAGATGCCTTTGGGCGAGCAGCCCTATATAAAGGAAAATGGTTTTGATAAAAAGCAAAGTTATATTGAAACTTTTTCGGTATGGCAAGGCTGCTTCCGATGGTTGTTTATTGTTGTCCCAGCACTCCTTTCCGCTTTCAGTGAAAATATATTTTTTGTTCCAGGTTTCCTGGATACGCAAACGGGATTTACACATCCTTACAGTAGGAATCCTGACCTATACTTCGGATCAACGATTTCAGGTAATTAGATTAGTATACAGTGTTAATATATAATAAAAATTAGACTACTTTATACAGAATGTCCAAAAATTTATATTAAATAATTACTAGCTTTAAACGGAAATTACTTGTTTAATTTAAATACAACATCCTGTATGTTTTACCTGATCACGTAAAACACAATTTAATTGTCTATCAAATTGTATTATACCATTCTTTAGCTATCTCTTCTAGTTTTCGCAGAAAATTCATTTTATTATTATTTAGACCTCACTTATCCTCTATACCCATGGAATATTGACATTTTAGACTTTTTTAAAGTAACATATGTACACAATGTACAGGTCGTAAAAATAATATTAGAAACCTATTTGTTTACAAAAAGAAAACTATTTAAATATATATTTGTAAAAGAGTTAAATATACCACCATTGTTTCCGCCTAAAAATTAGTTAATTATCTACTTAATTGTTTTAATTATTAAATTATTGTAAATAAATGTGGATTTGACTCAGGAGTCAATAAAATAATATGTTGTGAAATTGAACGTCTCTGTTATAAATAAGCATTCGTCAAAAAATGAAATAAAATTTATAAGGTGTTACTTTTTACCACACTGTCTTACACATACAAAATTCAGTTTTTCAGTATTTGGAGCAATTATTATTAATCAATGTAAACAATCAATTAATGTAGTTTGAATACTAGGATCATATTAATTGGTCCTCTTTCACAAAAAAATTTTAACGGTTTTTTTTTACTTTTTAATGAAATAAGCAAACTATATTGACAATATTAGTATCTGTACTCTTTGAAAATTTGTTACATCTGTAAAAATAATCTAAACTGTCATTATTTCATGGGTATAGTGATAAATAAGTTCTAAATTATAAGAAATAGCATTTTCTTCGATAACTTGAAGAGATAGGTAAAAAATTGTAATACATAATTTGACAATTAAATTGTGTATCTGATTCTCGTAAAATATATAGGGTGTTCCATTTTAATTAAACAAGTTATTGCCACTAAAAGCTAATTATTTAATATAAATTTGTAGACACTCTGTATAAGGTAGTATTTTGTTTATTATTGCAACACAATATCTGATCAATAAATAAACTTCAGTAAATATTTAGTGTTAAAAACTTTGATACCTTTGGAGAAATGAAGCCTTAAAATTTTTACTGCAATTTCATCAAATTGAAATTTCATATTTTTAAAAATTTTGTAAAGATATTTTTAAATTGTAGATCTAATAATCCTTCAACGAACTTACAATTTGTAAAAATCTAATCGTTTAGCTACAATACTCCGTGTCGTATGTGGTGAACAACCCTGTACAAACCGTTCATAAAATAAGGCGACAGCAAACGGCAACAGTTGTTGGGCAAGCGAGTTGACTAGTGGGATGTAGAATACAAAAATGGGAAGAATAAATTTATGCTGGCTTCACGGCTGTCACTATATCGAGTTTATAAAATGCCATAACAAATTAGTAAATGCAATATTGAAAGCCCTACTCGATATTATTGACATTTCCTCCATGTAAGCACGAATTTAATCAAAAAATCCAGTAAAAATATTAAATTTCAATCGATATCCTATACGCTTGATGCAACAGGCTGGCTCCCGTTCTTCTTAAAACCCAATAAGGGATACGTTTCCCGCATCGCCGATGCCCACGCTCGCACAAACCTAACCTAATTCTTGCCGTTTTCCAGGTGATAAGGCCGGAAAAGTCGTCCAACTGGACCCTCCAAATCAAATTTCCGCAAATAAGGGATTCCGGCATCTACGAATGTCAGGTGAACACGGAGCCGAAAATATCTCTACCCTTCAGACTGAACGTAATTGGTAAGTGAAACGATTAGGTTAAAGGAAAAATTTCGCTGTGTTTTGATATACAGGGTGTCAAAATGTTAGTGTCTTATCAAATAAATGAAACTGATCGTATTTTTTATTGTGTATTTTTGTCTGTGCTAATATAGTCTATAAAATGAATAACTTTGAATTTTGACCGTTATTTTTTACCAACATGGCAAATATAAAATCCCTATGTCAAAAAAGTTACTGATATTCTTTAAGTATTCTTTAAACTGAGTGCCTGAACGAATCAGATAGGTAACTCTTTTTACTTTCGTGAAATAAAAAAAGAAAATAATAAAACAAGTGACAGTTCTTCCTCTTCTTGCAAAAATCAACACGAAACGGCGTAATAAAATGTCATCAGCTTTTGACATTTCTAAAAGAGAAAGAGAAAGAAGAAGAAAAAAAAAAAAAAAAAAAAAAAAAAAAAAAAAAAAAAAGAAGAGAGAAGAAGAGAGAAGAGAAGAGACAGAGAGAAAAGAAAAATAAAGGAGAAGATCTAGAATGAGAGAGAAGAGAGTAGAACAAAGAGAAGAAAGAAGAGAGAGAAGAAGAGAACTTAAAAACTAAAAAAAAAAAAAAAAAAATAATAAAATTCAAAAAACAAAAAAAAAAAAAAAAAAAAAAAATAATATTTCTTGTAATTAAAACGATTTGGGTACCGGTTTTTGTGTAAAGCTGATTGTGTTCTCCAACTCTAGGTACCGTATGATCGAAAAAAAAAACTGCGTTCAGCAATGGCTATGAACATTAATACCCTACTCGCTGTCATTTATATGTAAAATAAACAATATATGGGAATATAATATGCTATCGATGTTCATTTTCAAGTTCAACTGAGACGCCGGTTTTTTATCATTCGGTATAATAACGGTCAGGAAACATGCAATGTTATTTGTTTTGATGTATGTTTAATGCATTGTTAGTCTAGTTTGGTCTAGTAATTCTAGTCTTCTTTTTAGTCCATCTAAAAATTCAAGTAGGTATTATATCATCTTACTAATGGATCATTCATATGTATATTATACGGGTGTTTTTCAAAACAAATGAAAGGAAAAACTTCAGGGGGTTGATTCCTTGTTCAAAAATAGAGGATAGTTTGCTTCATAAACGTTGGGTCAAAAGTCAACCATTAGGGAGATATTTTATCGCGGTACAAAGATGCGGAAAAATAATGTTTTATTTTTTTATCTTTGAAAAACGAAAAGAGATTAGATAAGAGACTAATAAAATTTTATGGAAGCGTTACTGTTATTGGAAAACACACTTTTTTGGTAATTTTTTCACTTTTTAAAATTGAGTGGAACGGGTTGAAATAAACTACCCCTATATTTCTTGTTAACGAAATTAAAAGAAAAAATCTTATCAAAATACATGCAAAAAAATTTAATGTGGGATAGTTTAGTTTGTTTAGAAAACATTTTTATCTCTTGTATTTTTTTGATAAAATCACTTATTTGAAATTAAAAAAATAAAATGTAAAGCATTACATGTCAGGACAAAAAACATTTTCTGATAAAAGATCTAGTGGGCTGCTGTAATTTTTTTTAGGAAAAAAATCTAGTCGGCCGCCGCTGTTACTTTTTAGGATGTTCCTATTATTATTTTATTTGACCATTACTCTACTGCAATACGTTATTAATCTAGATATTATTTATTATTCGTTTATTATCACTAGCTTCTTAATCTAAAAATGTTTTTTGTCCTGACATGTAATGCTTTACATTTTATTTTTTAATTTTCAATCGGTGAGTTGAGTATTTATCGAAAAAACACAAGAGGTAAAAAAGTTTTTAAACAAACATAAACTATCCAAATTAAAGCATTTGCATGGGTTTGATAAGATTTTTCTTTAAATTTTGTTAACAAGAATTGATAGGGGTAGTTTATTTCACCCCTTTTCCACTCATTTTTTTAAAAAAGTAAAAAAATTACCTGAAAGTGTGTTTTTCATAACAGTAATGCTTCCAAAAATAAATTTCATTACTCTAAATCTCTTTTCGTGTTCAAGTAAAAAATAAAAACATTATTTTTCCGCCATCTTTGTACCCGATATCTCCCTAATGGTTGACTTTTGAACCAACGTTTATAAGCAAACTACCCTTTATTTGTGAACAAGAATCACCCCTAACGTTTTTTCGCATTTGTTTTGAAACACCCTGTATAAATTAAAATGTCCATAAAACTCAGGCCGATATTCAATAGCGTCTACTCTATTATTTAAAATATGTAAAATAGCATCTTGTTTCCGCTCCATTTATATCTCCAAGAACAGCAGCTTCCAGTACTTTTTCCATTTTTCATAAGTAAAGAGAATGTTGACAAGAAATCAAGAATACGCCGGAAATGTGAACAAAAACGATGAGTATCTTAAGTTAGATCAACAACATTATAATTATCCTTCAAAATACCGTATTTATTACGAAACCGTATTTACTTAACGTTACAGGCATGAGAACTTTCTATTTACATTTTTTAATACGGTATCATGCTCACTGGCACAACAACCAAAACTGTTATTTCGGTCTTTCCGATATTGCGGTTCATCCGGTCCAACCGATCTTTCGGTACATCCGGTTTTCCGGTCCAACCGTAACCACCGTAATAACAAGGCCGGACAGCTGTAACGTAAAAATCTCGTGATGTCACCAACTGGCGGCTTAACTCTATTTAGCAGCGTTGATAATTACCCGATAAAAGTTCAAATTGTGCATTTTTTTTCACTCAGCAGATATATTTCGAAGTTTTAAAATGTCTTTTTCCGAGTTTTTAAAAATATTATAGTATATAAAAATAGTTTTAATAGAATACGGAAAAAATCAAACCAGTCAATAAATGTTTATCTCTCACTTTTTGTCAATCAAATTTAATAAAGGAATATTTTAAGTTCACAATAGTGTATAATAAGAGAAAAAACAATAAAAATATATATTTTTATAGTATATATTATGTACTTCATCGATATTTTACGCCCCCTACTCAGGGGCAACCACCACTGGTATTTCCGCAGTTAACAGTCATCGATTTATCGGTAGGTGTGTGGACGTGGTAATTATAATCGATAATAGAAGGGTGAAAAAAGTTCTATTCAGAAAAAGTAGCTGGAGAGTACAGTATTTGTGTTCGACATTTATATGAAAGCGAAAAGAAACTTAGGATTCAGTCATTAATGTCCCTAAAATCTACATGTTTTGTGGTTCTATAAAAATCGATACTTTTTATGATTTTACGATGACAATACCTTGTCTAAAGAAATACCACGCGATACAAGTACCATATCGAATCAGATTGGTTTAACATCGACATTACTATTTCTGAACAAGATATCGAAAGTGTGAAGGAAGAAAGGCCTGTTATTGCTTATTTAGAAGGATATTGCTGTTATATTGTTTTAAAGGAAATTAAATGCGATACATGTAAGAATAATTTAACATTTTCAGACAATACTGATATTGAACAAAATTCACTTACTAAAGGCAGTCTTGGGTTTCCAAAAGATGAAATAACTTATATAGTTTTATTTGAATATATAATTTTTAACAAAGTTTTGCAAAGCCATGAGGAGTTTCCCAAAATTCATAATAAAAAATATTTTTATCAAAAATATTTTTGGATTACATTAGAAGTAATAACACCATTATTAAAATTTCCACAATGTACTATTTATAATGCTAAGTTATTGTAAAAATTGTCATAAATTCTATTAGAAATACACGTCTGAAAAACTACTGTTGTAAAAACATGATAGATTTGGAAAAGGAAATAAAAAAACTTAGACAAACTTACAGCATAAATAAATACAATGACGATGGATAATGTGAGATGGGATATCAATATGATGTTTTTTAAATTTTATGTTTAATTATTATTTATTAAAAATTCGGTGCAATTAAAGTTTATATCCATTATATACGTATAAAGTGTATCAAATGCAATCAAAGTTTAGGCCTCCAGTTGATGACGTCATGAATAATTGTTCGGCCTTGTTATTACGGTGGTTACGGTCCAACCGGTCTTCCGGTCCTGCCGGTATACTAGTTCAGTATCTGTCCCACCGATCACTGATCTAATAATGTTGGGACCGGTATATCGGTTGTAGAACCAGTACTTTGTGATACCGGATACCGATACTGAAATCTTAAGATCAAACATCCCTAGTTCTAAATGCTTACATTGGATATGAGAGGAACAAACTTCTACGCTAATTGAAACCACTAATTGCGAGGTTCTGAATGAAGCTTTAGCATTCAGAACGTCAAAATTAGTAGTAGACATTTTCAATTAGTAGAAACAGTTATAAAACTGTTAACTTTTCCACTAATTATACTTCAACATTTGCGAGAAATGTCATTTTGACCTTTGATTATCTTCGGTCAAGAGAAATTGTGGTTAGAAATCAAAAGTTGATTGTTTTATAAGCTAAATATTAGGCTTTCTCTATGGATACAACTGACTAACAAAAGACGTTGCTAGGATATTCTATTAATTTTAATTCTCTTTTTTTAAACATTGTGAATGATCGTAAACTAAAAAGTATTAAATGTAATTGAAACCACTAATTTATTCCACTAATTGCGAGGTTCTGAATGAAACTGAAAATGTAACAATAAAGAATTACGATTTTCTATTCCTTCTCCTCCCTTCTCGCAGTGTTTATTAAATAGTCTAATTCCAGACACGATTTTAACATAATTCTCCAAAGAAGCAACCTTGAACGAGTTTGAAGAAGCTACGAATTCTTTTAACTCGTTTTCATTTAAAATGCTTTTTAACGCCACCAGACCTTCTTCATATACCTAAAATATAAATTTAAAATTTCTATTTAATTTTATTTAAGCCAATAAAAAAATAATTCTTAATACTGTGTAAGTATACTGATTTTTTTATTTCACCCTATAAGTAAAAGCAAGGTGCCCGGTGGCGTAGTACAGGCTCTCGTCTACCAATCTCAAGGTAGTGGGTTCGAATCCTACACCCGGCATTTCATCAGCCGACTATTTTTATTAAAATAAAAATAGTTTGGGTACCTAGGGCGACTCAGCCTTAAAAAATTAGTACTTGGGATTCACAATCCTGAGGTAATAATAGGCGGTTGAAGCGTAGTGCTAGCCTTAGGTGCTAGCCACATTACCTTCCTTGTATACCGAACGGCTCTAGCACGTCAAGCTGTATAACTTGCTACTCCCAAGGCGTTAAACGCTATGTACGGGAGCTATTATTATTATTATTATTATTATATAAGTAAAAGCAAAGAGCAAATGAAGGATACATAAGAAACGAGATGAGAGTCATAAAAAGTACCGTATGATCGAATAAAAACGGCGTCAACGATGGCTATGAAATGAAGATCGCTGTCATTTTATATGTAAAATTATATGGGAAATGTCATCGATCGTCATTTCCAAGCCAACTGGACGCCGTTTTTTTTCGATCATACGGTAGTTTTTACAGAATAGGCTAAGTTGGTGTAAAAATAAGACACGTACTGAAAATGTATTATTTAGTCAGTTTCTTTGTTAAGAACATTTAACAATAAATGTTAAGAGACTATACCCATAGTTTGTTTAATCTTTGTGCTATGAATCATGAAAAAATTAGAATTACAAATCGGTTTCTCAGTGCCGCGTTAAGGTAAATTGGTACTCTAGGCACTATTCTCTTGCCGCCCCCTCTCACTAATAAAAGTTCAAGTAAATTTTTAATATCTAATAAAGGCAACAAATGGAATCCCTCCCGCCCAAAAAAAAAGGAATACAAACATTTTCAAAAATGGAAGCAATTAAAAAACGTACAAGAAGATATACAGTTTTTAACCTATCCTCGCTGTTAAAGTATCATTTAAATATACCTTTGCGGTTAAAGTACTATTTTTGATAGATATAAGATGGATATAAGCAATTTTAACAGTTGCTATGGACAAAAACTATATAATAAAATAATATACAGGGTGATTCCTGTAAGTTGGTCATGCTTTCGGGGAATGATGGGGGACGTCGAAATACTAATTTTTATATAGCACACTATGGGTCCGAAATGCCTCTTACGCAAGATACGGGGAGTTAAACTTTTTGAAAAATTAAAGATATTCTTTAATAGTTTTTTAACAGTTGAAAGTATCGTAATAAAATTTTATTATATTTGGTCTCGTCTCGTAAATAAGTACAGTGTAGTACCCTTTTCTCCGTGCGGCGACCACACATTTTAAAGCCTAAACAAACAAATTTCAACATGCCCCTCGCTTCCCTGCTCCCTTACCTCATTATATGCCCTTGCATCATTTCTTATTTAGTCTTTTTTTGTGTGCGGTACGACCCACATCGAATGTCGCGTAAAAGATATCGATCGGCTCTCGCTCCGAAGAGCGGAGTGTTTTAGATTATCTTAAATGGATGGATAAGCGATTAAAGTTATTAGAAAATAAAAACATGCATAAAAGAAAAAGATTAGTGACAGGTTCGGAAGAGGAAAGCAAGTTTTGAGAGGCAGGCGAATAGTAGTGATTATTCGCAAGATTCTGAGGACGAGTTAGAAGCAGTATTTGAGATTGTAGAAATCAAGGTAAATAAACATATAACATATACATATACAATACCTGAATAGTAGGAGGAAACTACTCTTCTAAGCTTGGGAATATAGGTATTGTGGGTGAATACCTTAGTGAATGCTTATATTATCTAGATTTTTCCACTTATTACACTAATATGGCAGAGTACGTTGGTGGTTACTCTAGATTAAATTGAGGGACATTAAATTTATTCACGTTAATTGTAGCGGAGTATAGTGGTGGTTACTCTAGCTTGGTGTGTAGGTATTGTTGGTGAATACCTCAGTGAATGCTTATATTACCTAGTTTTTTCCCACTTATTACATTAATACAGCAGAGTACGCTGGTGGTTACTCTAGCTTGGTATATATGTATTATTGGTGAATACTTATCGCATGGCTGTCTTAGTACACTAATATGGCAGAGTACGTTGGTGGTTACTCTAGCTTGGTTTATAGGACATTAAATTTATTCACGTTAATTGTAGCGGAGTACAGTGGTGGTTACTCTAGCTTGGTGTGTAGGTATTGTTGGTCAAAACCTCAGTGAATGCTTATATTACCTAGTTTTTCCCCACATATTACATTAATACAGCAGAGTACGTTGGTGGTTACTCTAGCTTGGTATATATGTATTATTGGTGCATACTTATCGCATGGCTATCTTATTACACTAATGTGGCAGAGTACGTTGGTGGTTACTCTAGCTTGGTTTATAGGACATTTAATCTATTCACGTTAATTGTAGCGGAGTACAGTGGTGGTTACTCTAGCTTGGTGTGTAGGTATTGTTGGTCAATACCTCAGTGAATGCTTATATTACCTAGTTTTTTCCCACTTATTACATTAATACAGCAGAGTACGTTGGTGGTTACTCTGCTTGGCATATATGTATTATTGGTGAATACTTATCGCATGGCTGTCTTGCTTTTATTTTCAAGGTTGGTAGTCCCATAAGGGCACGTTGGTGGTTGTCCTTATGGAGTGACGTTTTGCTAAGCTAACTGTATAAGATTTATAAACTCCTTAAGCGTGAGTTAGTCCCAATATGTGTTTACATATCTTGATATTTTCTTATAGGTGAAGGCGCTAGTACACTTATTGAAAAAGATATTGGAAAGAGCCTACCTAAACCTTTGTAGGAAGGTTTATTAGCGGGTTTAGGAGATGAGGTAGACGGGAAAAATACCACGACACCACCGATTCAACCGGAAATTGCAGAAAGATGGATACACATCGCAAAAACCGGCATTGAAGAACCCGTTCTTAACCTATTAATGGAGAAGTACCCCTCCTCAGAGAATGTCACCTCTTTAAGGCCACCACAGTTAAATTTAATGGGGAAACAGGCCATACATGATAATGTGGATTAGATGATTAACGTGCAGAGATGAAATTGGCTAAAATTCAATCAAGATTAGCAGCCAGTTTGTCGGCTATAGGCCAAGTAATGACAAAAATTTTAGAGGAGAAAGGAGAGGGGGGAGAAAGGAAATAAAGCATTATATGGAGACCCTAAACGACTAAACGACGCAGGACGTCTTATAACTGGTGTTATCCATTCCGAGTCAATATCGAGGAGGGAACTAGTGTCTTTCGATTTAAACTTCAAAAGTCTGCCTCAACATCAGCAGGGAGGGAAACGGGGAAGACTCAATGTTCGAGAAACTCCCTACAACCGCCCACGTCACAAGCGGACCTGGAACCGAATACAACACTTCGGCGTAAGGTCGCGTTCTCAGGGAAGATGTATAGGGATAATAGACGTATTATGGCATGGTTGCAAGGTTTTAAAATTCCGTTTGTGATGAGACTATCACATAACATAATCTCAGGGAGACATAAATGCTCGGTGCAACAACATAAGACAATTGAGGGCAACATTCGGAGATTGCTTAGTATAGGGGCTATTTCTAAGGCACAGCCATGTAAAAATCAGTTTATTACAGACATATTCACGTTTCAGTTGTTTATTTAGATGATTTTTTATTACTAGGAGATTCTTATGATGCACGTTTAGCAAATGTATTAGAAACCATTGGATTACTCGAATATGGGGTTTATTGTAAACTATAAAAAGAGTATTATATCTCCTCAAAAAATTGTGACGTTTTTGGGGTTTAAATTTAACTCTATGGATATGACTATTTCTGTTCAAGAGGAAAAAATCACAAAAATAATTTTGCATTTAAAAAAGTTTTTAAGATGGAAGAAATGCACTATAAGGGAGTTTGCAAGGTTAACAGGGAAGTTGGTATCCATATGTCCAGCCATTAAGTACGGTTATTTATATCCCAAATTGTTCGAGAGAGAAAAATGTTCGCGTTAAAGAGTAATAAAGGAAATTATAATGGAACTATGAAAATTTCTAAGAAGTTATGTGTTGATACCGATTGGTGGATTCGAAACATACCTATTAGCAAAAACTTATTATCATATAGTAAATATTCTATGGAAATATTCTCTGACGCATCAGATATTGGATGGGGTGTTTGTTGCAATAACATAAGTTCTCAAGGTCTCTGGCCTACCTACGAATGAGAAGAACACATAAATTTTAGGGAGTTACAAGCTGTTTATTTTGGCTTGAAATGCTTTGCTAATGACTTATCTAACGTTTCTAGTTTGTGCAAGGTAGACAGTGTTGTCTACCCTATATGCCAGTGCAGTAGTGTTACTGCACTGGCATATACCTATATTACATAGAACATAAAGTGTTCAATTTCCAAGTTAAACAATCTCCCTCGAATAATTTGGCAATGGTGTGAGGAAAGGAGATTATTTATCGTAGCCTCTTATATTAGATCTCAAGAGAATAAGGAAGCTGACAGGGCTTCCCGGGAATTTAAGGTCGAGACAGAATGGAGTTTAGCGAGCTGGGCATTTGGAAAATTGGTCACTATAAGTGGGGTTTACCGGAAATAGATTTGTTTGCTATGCATATAAATGCTAAATGCAAGAAATACATATCGTGGCACAGGGACCCAGATACGTACGCCATTGATGCCTTTACAACAAATTGGGAAACATTTTATTTTATGCTTTCCCTCCATTTTCAATGGTCCCAAAGGCTCTGCAAAAAAAAAATAAAATATTTCTGATCAGGCAGAGGGTATAATGGTTCTACCCAACTGGGTTTCGCAACCTTGGTATTCGGTTTTATGGGCGATGTTAATAGATGAGCCGATTATTTTTTTCGCTAATAAATATTTCCTTTCTTTTAGCGGATGTCCCCACCCGTTAGCCAACAATCTTTCTCTGACGGGAGGTCCGGCTACCAGGCAAGCCTTGCTCTTAGGGAATGTTCCAGAAGAAGCGCTGGAAATTTGCATGTATTCAATAACAAGTAACACCTTAAAACAGTATAACTCAGGGCTTAAATTATGATGGGAATTTTGTAGAGTTAAGAACTTAGATCCCTTCTCGGTGTCGGTTTCCAACGTTCTAATATTTTAACTCAACTCTTTAACGAAGGCGCATCTTTTAGCTCATTAAGTTCTTATAGAGCAGCCATAGCACAGATAGCGGGCCCGGACCTCTCACAAGATTTCCGTATGGAAAGGTTTTTTAAGGGAATATATATGTTGAGCTTTAAACCTTGGAGGGGCTTACGCATAAATTAGTGACATTACTGGCCTTAGCATCGGGTCAACGTTTACAAACAGCATCGCTTATTGATATAAGGGAAATTTTTCAGAAGTTAGGGGAAATAGATATAAAAATTAGCGCAAGATTAAAAATATCCGGTAGAAATAAGCCGCAACCCTTTTTACGCTTACCTTATTTCAAGAAAGACGCTAATTTATGCGTAGCTAGCACGTTAGTAGAGTATCTGAAACGAATAGAGAGCATTAGAGGAAACATAACTTCTTTTTGCATAACTATCAAGAAACCGCATAAGAAAACATCCACTCAAACCTTGGGGCGCTGGATAAAATTGTCCTAAATAAAAGTAGGATTGATACGGATCATTTTACCGCTCATAGTACACGGTATGCTGCAACTTCAGCATTTGCCAGGAAAGGGTTAAATTTTGATACCATCAGACTCGCTGCTGGTTGGTCTAAACATTCTAGAATGTTTGCTACTGTTTACAATAGACCCTTGATGGATAATGAGAATAGATTTGCTGAGAAATTAATCTTTATATATTTTCAATATAGAAATGGGAGAAAAGATTATGTTGTTGTTATTACTTTAAAAATCTACACTGTACTTATTTACGAGACGAGACCAAATATAATCACAAGATTAAACGAACTTACCTGAAGTGAAGTTCAATCTTGATTATATAAAGGTCTCGTCGAAGTAAATAAGTTCCCTCCCACCCTCAACCTCATTTTACAACAACATAATAAGTATCTTTAAATTGACTAAATAAGAAATGTTGCAAGGGCATATAATGAGGTAAGGGAGCAGGGAAGCGAGGGGCATGTTGAAATTTGTTTGTTTAGGCTTTAAAATGTGTGGTCGCCGCACGGAGAAAAGGGTACTACACTGTACTTATTTACTTCGACGAGACCTTCATATAATCAAGATTGAACTTCACTTCAGGTAAGTTCGTTTAATCTTGTGATTATAGGCATCTACCTAGCGGAGACACTTTAAATGTAAAAAGTAGAGGTTTTAGTTTCAACCAGTGGCGTAGATGTGACACCCCAATTTTTTCAAAAAAAATAGTACGCCACCGGTAAAAATAAAAATTTCAGAGTTTTTTATTTACTTGGTCTATTTCCAAGAAAAAATGTCTCTTGCAACTTTCTCCTATCTAACACCATTTTGTCACAATTTAAAAATAAATAATTTTTTTAAAGCGAACCTTAAATATGTGAATTATTATAACTACCTTAAAACTAAGAATTTTATTATCTACATATATAAAATGCTAATGTTTATCTGCGTCGTCTCTACTGAAGTAATGACTTGCTCTAGAAAGTTGCTTTTTTTAAAATAAAAAGTTTTTCTTTCCTGATGTGGCGGATGCGCCAGGCTTCAACTAGTTAACAATAAAAAATTTCTAGTTTAAATTTATAATTTTTTTAAAAATTTACTAAGGGCATATTTAAATTCATGTAGGTCATGAAGAGAGCTGACGAGGCACATATGTTTCTGCCCTCTAGTTATAAGAATTCGCTGTATTTAAGATTCTCATTTAAAAATGTATTTATTTTTAAATTGTGACAAAATGGTGTTAGATAGGAGAAAGTTGCAAGAGATAGTTTTGCTTAGAAATAAACCGAGTAAATAAAAAAACTCTAAAAATTTTATTTTTTATCAGTGGCGTACTATTTTTTTTTGTAAAAATTACCCGATGCGTATCACATCTACGCCACTGGTTGAAACTAAAACCTCTTCTTTTTACATTTAAAGTGTCTCTGTTAGGTAGACTCCTATTATAAAATTTTATAACGATACCTTCAACTGTTATAACTATTAAAGAATATCTTTAATTTTAACACCCTGTATCTTGCGTAAGAGGCATTTCCGACCCATAGTGTGCTATATCAAAATTAATATTTCGACGTCCTCTATCATTCCCCGAAAGCATGACCGACTTAGAGGAATCACCCTGTATTTAAACTTCAATAATTGCTAATAAACATTATAGGAACTTCAAAAGAGAAAAAAAAGATTGGCGCCGGGAGGCACATATAGCCGCCCATTCTTGGTATTTTTTTTATCTCAAAAACTGTGACTGACTGATTTTGATATTATTACAAACTTTGTTGCAAATATTATTCCTAATCTTAAATTGAAAACCGCGTTTCGCTAGCTACTGTAATTTTGGAGTTTTTTTTTTACTTTTTTAAACCCCTCTTATACCCCCTTACCAACCACCCACTCCCACCAAAAACTAATGGCCAGATTTTCAGGTGCCACAGTATTTTTGTGCCATATTTGGTTAAAATCGGTTTAGCGGTTTTTGAATAATCGTGTTACAGACGGACAGACAGACACTATGAAAATATTTTGTATTTAGGTCATTTATGACCCAAATAACTCATTTTGAGTTAAATTAAAAAACCTTTTTTTTGCCGATCTTAATAGCCTACCATACCTGTTGGTATGGTCCGCTAAAAAGCAAGAACAGACCGCAACAACAAACCAAACCAAATCAAAAAGATCCGGGACTTCCAGTACTCCCATACATTCCGGAAAATTTCCGGTACTTTTAAAACCCGGTTTTGAACCCTAATTGGGTGTATTAAATAGAATTTCTGGAACCGGGACTTTCGGTACCATGCTTCTAAGGACCCAGGATTTCACGGTTTTGTCGGTACTAGTAATGTTTTATTGAATGCTTGTGCGTCAATCAAGCAAGGGATGGTTTTCAAAATTAAAACCGATAAAATTGAGTTTTAAATGAAAGTAATATCAAATTTTTAAGTAATCAGTCATGAAGAAATTAACGTTAACACAAATGAACACAAGCGAAGAAAAAAACGAAAAAAACATACAGGGTGGCCCCTCTCATACGCCGCGGAAGCTCCAAGGAGAACGGTAGTTTATATCGAAATGAAATTTTGGCAGCATATGTAGGTTAACTGAAAGCATTTTATAAAAATATATTATATAAAATAATAAAAAAGGTTGCGGAAGCTCCAAGGAGAACGGTAGTTTATATCGAAATGAAATTTTGGCAGCATATGTAGGTTAACTGAAAGCATTTTATAAAAATATATAGAATTATACACGGTGTCCCCAAAAAAAGTTACATATCAAAGTTGTGTTTTTTCTAATGGAACACCCTATATATTAATTGATTTTCGGATTCTAGGAAAAAAATAAAGGTGATTTTTATTAAAGAAGCATATACCTAAAATCTAAGGAATTTGACTTATTTGACATTTTGTGAAAATGAAGAGTAAATTTTAAATTTCGATAACAGCTACGTAAATTTAATTGACTTTGTATAGCCTCATATTTAATTACAATAACCATTGTATGTTAAACCAAACAAAAATTTTACCCGAAAAGTTATACAGGGTGAGACAAAATTAATATGGAGCATTAGTCACTTTTAAAAGCAAATTACTCCTTTATTTTAAATGGAACACCCATTATATTTTTCCGGTGTTCAATGGGGAATTTATATATCTTCAAAATATTTTTAAGGGCCTACCCCTCAGACAAAGATTTTCCTAGATATTTTAATTTTTATGATTTTGCGTCAGTATATCTTTATTATTTGAAAAGATCTAGTAGGTGGCTGTGATATACTTTTTGTTAATTTAACAAAAATTAAAGATTGTAGTAAAATTCTCAACGGTACTAAAAAGATACACGTTTAAAACATATTTTAATTATTACAGAATTAAAACTAGATATAAACCTATAATTATGTGACAAAAATTAGCTAGATGAAATCAAATTCACAAAATGCAATTTTTTTCCTGTTAACTGCATAAAATGATTCTTTTCAAAAGGAGTTCTACCTCGAAAAGCAGTTACAATAATTTCTCTCATATTGTCGACAATAGTTGGTCGAGTTTTGTAAACACTGTCTTTAACATATCCCCATAAGAAAAAACAGACTACATAGAATCAGGAGCACTAATAAAACCAAACTAATGGAATCATATCAATAGGCTCTTTCACAAAAAATAAAATACCCAATTCAAGGACAAAATATGAAATAGAAGACTATTTTCAGTATATTTATCCAAAAAAAATAGTTCCATGACATTGAATAATTTTTTTATAGGCCCTCAAAATTGCTTTAATTTGAAATAATTTTAAAGTGCCAATTGATGACGTATGAAAAATACGCCCAATCACATTGCAGAACCGTGCTCGTGCGCCAGCCAACAACTGGCAACATTGCAATTTGATTTGACCAGCACCACCTCAACTCAAGCCAATCAACATGATATGGGCAAGGCAAATATGGCGGCGAAGGCAGCGCATTATTAAATTGTTTACCTTTAACCTGAAAAGCCGGTAGTGGTTTCTCGTTCCGATTGCATACCAGAAATAATTAATTATCTCTAGTTTGTTGTGCTTCTGCAACACATTTGTTTAGTTCTTAGTGTTCAGTGCATGGTGTGATCAGAAAATTGTGATAAAATAACAGTGTAAAAAAATCCAAACCAGACATTCCACAAAGGGAACTTCAAACTTTTGTGCTTGTCGTACTCCTCTATTATTAATTATTTTAAGGTAAGAACTAGAAGTATTTATCAATATATTACACCTAAATGATTAAAAAGCCTTTGCCGCCAGTCTGCATAGTACTTTATAATGGTTACTTACAATAATCAAAAGATAGGTATTAAAGGGTAGGTATTAACATTTTATTGTAGCATGCCTTTTACATGCTCTGTTTCAAATTCTCACGGGAATTATAGAGGGGGTCCCAAGGTTTCTGCTTTTAAAAGAGATAATTTCACTCCTACTAGTAGTTCTCGGGTAAGAAGTGCATTAAATATGCCTCAAAAAGACCAAAGGCCAAAGCCTCTGTTACCCTAGTGAGGATGTAGTTATGGCTACTGCTTACATTTACCTCACTATAAGTAAAATATTGGAAGAAGAATCAAGCTTTTTACATCAAAAAGATCACAGAAAGATATTGACAACATTGACATTTGAAAATATAAATGGCCTGGATGTAAATCTTTTTTTAGGTCACAATTGCCCCTCACATACGTCAGAATTTATTATTAAATCCATCTTGTTCAGAATATCCAATATTTTATTGAAGAACTATGCAAAAAAAAGGAATAACGTCTTTACCAGAAAGACAATGCCCTATGTAAAGAGAAAGAGCAAAGAAAACTAAGCTAAGCGTAAGTTTTACTTACGAACCCCCAAAAAGGTATTTAGTTTGTTTTTCTATATAAAATCTTGAAACACATATTATATTTTTTATTTATCCTCACCTATTATAGTTTAAATTTATTCCCATTTGTGTAATGCTGCAAAACATATGCCATATTTTTTGACCCAAGCCAGTGTAGTTTATAATTCCAAGAGCTTACCAAGGCTTTTACTAAGACAAGTAACTTCCTATACTGTCCATAATAATATATATATTTATCAAACGTTCAGTAAATTCTAAACTATGGTAGGTAAGTGTTTGCAATTGAATATTTAGTTTATATTGCTATTTTCTGTCATATATTTCTGGTTATCTCTTTTCCGATGATTTTGAACACCCTATATATTCTACCTCAAGTTTGAATATTTTAACACTACCTATTTTCTGAGAAAGCAGACCTTTTTATAAAAAGTAACTAACTGATCTTTTCATACAAGTAACAATACAAAAATTCCATACTTATGTGGAAAACTTTAGACTCCCTGTATATTAAAAAAGTAGTGAAATATTACGTAATCTAACCCGACATTTGTGTGAAAAATGTCTATTTGGAAATAAAATAGGTTTTAAAATACGCTTCAAATAAAGCACTTCTATCTCCGCCATATTGGAAAAGGTTGAATGGCCTTGTGTGGCGGTGGTGGTGGGTCAGCGTGGTGGGTCAGCATGGTGGCCGGCCGCAGCCGTGTTGCCGCTTTTCAACATGCCAGGTGTGACGTATTAAAAATAAAGTGCGGATTTTTATTCTGGGCTTTTTTGTTTTTATTTATTTTCTTAAGAACGACTTCAAATTTTTCGAAGGTGAGATAACAGAAAATTCTAGAATTAATTGCTTTATTCAAGTATGCTAATTCCAAAATATGGTGAAAGAGCCCATTCTCTATGATGTAGGATAATTTTGCATTTTCGGCAAATTTCTGGAAATTTTTTTTATTTTAACTGACAAAATGATAACTAGTTGCTAAAGTTGGACTAATTAAACAACTATGTTGAAGTAACTTCAGATATATCACAGCCACCTAGATTTTATCAAATAATAAAGATCTACTAAATCAAATCATGTAAATGAAAATATTTAGGAAAATCTTTGTTTGAGGGGTATGTAACCTTAATAGTATTTTGAAGAGACATGAATTCTCCATTGAATATTGAAATAATATAGTGGGTATTCCATTTAAAATAAAAGAAAAACATGCTTTTAAAGGTGACCTATGTTCAATATTAATTTAGCAGCTACGGTCCGTGTGGTGCCGGACAAGTGGGCAACAAGCTTTAAACGGCAATAATTTGTTTAATTTAAATGGAACACCCTGTATATTTTAGGTGAATCAGATGCAAAATTTAATTGTCTATCAAACTGTATGAAACGATTTTTTACCTATCTCTTCAAGTTTTCGTAGAAAATACATTTTCTTATAATTTAGACCTCATTTATCACTATACTCATGGAATATTGACATTTTATATTTTTTAAAGCTGTTACTTTAAAAAAAATGTACAAAATGTACAGGTGGTAAAAATAATAATATTGCAAGCCCATTTGTTTACAAAAAGAAAACTATTTAAATATGTTTAAAAGAGTATACCAATTAAATATACCACCATTATTTCCGCCCAAAAATTAGTTAATTACATTGGTATAAATTATTTTAAGTAAATGTGGATTTGACTCAGAAATTGATTTGAACTCGGAGATGACTCGGAAATCAAATAAGCATTCGTCAAAAATTTAAATAATATAATTTATAAGGTGTTACTTTTTACCACACTGTCTAATACACATACAAAATTCAGCTTTTTTAGTATTTGGGGCAATTATTATTAATCAACGTAAATAGTCAATTAATTTAGTTTGAATACTGGGATCATTATTAATTGGTCCTCTTAACAAAAAATATGTTTTTTTTTTATTTTTTAATGAAATAAGCGAACTATATCGACAATATTAGTATCTGTACTCTTTGAAAATTTGTTACATCTTTAAAAATAATCTAAAATGTCAATATTCCATGGGTATAGTGATAAATGTGATCTAAACTATAAGAAAATGCATTTTCTAGGAAAACTTGAAGATATAGGTAAATAATGGTATAATATAATTTGATAGACAATTAAATTGTGCATCTGATTCTCGTAAAATATACAGAGTGTTTATTTAAATTAAACAAGTTATTGCCGTTTAAAGCTAGTAATTATTTAATATAAATTTTTAGACACTCTGTATAAGGTAGCAATTTGGTTATTATTGCAATACAATATCTGATCAATAAATAAACTTCAGTAAATATTTAAGTATTAAAACTATATGATACCCTTGGAGAAATAAAGTCTTAAATTTTTGCTGCAATTTCATAAAATTGAAAATATTTCAAAAACGGTAAGGTTTAAGTATGATAAAATCAAATTTACCTTTATTTCAACCGTAGAATCTGAAAATAGTACAGTGTGTTCCATTTAATTTATATACAGTGTGTTCCATTTAAAAAAATACATCTATAATATTTTTTACTTATTTGGGATACAATTGTAGCTCTAGTAGTCCTTCAACGAACCCAAAACTTACAATTTGCAAAAATCTAATCGTTTAGCTACAATACTCCGTATCGTATGCGGTGAACAACCCTGTATAACGTCTAAAACCAGCACTAACGAACTTAACGCTGTTGTACCTGTTTACCTTTATATTCATAGAGTTTCCAAGTCCCGAAAGGAGAATTATGTAGAACACAATTTTTTCTATACAATTTATCAATTTCTTCCTTATCGGCCATCTTTCCCGTGGAACAAATATCATCTTTAAGTGTTGACAATTTCTTTCGTAGATTGTATCTATCCAATTCAACTACAAACTCCATATTATCCAAGTTGCACGAAAAGTAGAACTGTATCTTCAAAGTCACCATGTTGGGATGATGAGGATTTACTAATAGTTCATCAATAACATATCGGACAAAGATTTGAACATTTTGCCTTTGATTAAAAAAGTCATTGTCTATTCCCCAGTTTGGATTTATTAATAAAATTTTTGTCTAAAATTTTGATATAAATAGAATTATTTTTTATACAGAGTGAATCTTAAATAAGTGCAAATATTTTTAGGGGTAGTATATTTTGAACCCAGAAACACGACTGAGTTTTTTTTAATAAAAAATTGAAAATTTAGTATTTTTCTAAAAAAATTGGATTTTTTAATTTTTAATATAAATATCATAATATATCTTGATAATATGGTGACGATGTATGTATTGGATTAAATTTACAAAAAATAGAAACCCAAAAAAATCCTGTGCATCTCAATATTTAAGTAATGTTTTCTTTAATTTTAAAAGCAAAATAACTCGGTTATTTTGATCATACTGTCAAGGTGTATGTGAAGCTAGACTGTATTACTGGTTGCCTACCTTACCGCAACGTGTCAAGAAAAATGGCGCATTCGCCAGAAAGTAAAAGAATACTACAGAATTCTTTAGAACGTTCCAGAAACACTCGCAAGAGAGTATATAAAGCCCGCGCTTGGCAGTTGGACCAGTTTGAAGTTTAATAATACCGCGTTTTAAATTGTGAATTAATTGGCGAAGGTGCCAGTACCGTTAGAGTAATAGTAGTCGCATAAATTGTGTTGTAAATTAGTATAAATTGTGTGTACAGAGTGAGAGAAAATAAATTCGTTAAGTATTTTATCGTGAGTTTAAATTAGTGGACCCACGGAATCCGTAAAAATACTATATGGAAAACGGTAAAGAGAAAACATGTTCCTTTTATCGAGATCTGCCTCTAAAATATCTGCACTTATTTAAGACTCACCCTGTGTACATGGTGTCTCCATATTCCTTTGACATAGAACTATACAGGGTGCTACAAATTCGAGATACCAGCATTGGTATCTCGGAAACTTATTAGATTAGAATTAAGATTAAAAAATTAGATTTTCTAATTAGCTAATAATCTGTGCGATACAGGTTAACTTATTTTTTTTTTAAATATGGACCTTTTATATTTTATATTTCAGGTTTTGAAAGAACTCTGTCTCCTGAGTGCAATGATATGCCACACTTAATATTTTTTTTGTTTTAGACATTTGAACACAATTTATTTAAATTAATTTCAAGCCCGGCTCGCTGTTTTTTTTTTAATATTTAATCTATTCATCGTTATAATATATTGATAAGCTTTCAAATTTAACAATGACGTGGGGCAAAATATTGAATAAGGAAAATTAACCGCAACAAAATAATATAAAATATCTAAATAATATAAATAAGATATAATATAAACAATCAAATTATTTCTCCGGAAGATGGATTTGAAATGGTAGAGCAGTATAATGGCCAGCGAGGTTCCTGGACCTGTCGCCAAGGAGGGGGGGGGGCATTACTTAACTTCATTTGTAAAAGTGAAATGAATAAATTTCAACATTTACGATAAAGAGTACAAAATGCATTCGGAAGTTTAAGAAGAACATAATTATGTTTAAAGATCTGTAAATAAGATTGAACGAAAAATAAATTTGTGCATTAGGGAGGGTGGTAACACTTTCGAACATGTAGAGCATTAGAAACTAGTTTGTAAAAGTTAATTTTTTTATAATTACTACGATTATTATTATGCATATTAGATTAGATTAGACTTTGAGATTTCAAATTCACAATAAAAAGAGTTAAAGAGAATATCTTTAAATTGCTGACCTGGCCATTATTTATGAATCTTTCAAATGGCTCGATTTTTCTTATTCAATGTTAATTAGCGCCGATCAATATTGTTGCGATGAATATAATCCGATTAAATAATTTAAAAAAACCACAGTCGGACCTATAATATGAAAAAAAAATGAATTATATATAAATTATTTTAAATCTTATACAGGGTCCGGTAAGAGTGCGTCGGGCATCTGTAGCTCCTATAATAAAAAAGTTAGGAATTTTGTTTAAGTGCAAACCTAAAGTATATACCAGGATGCATTTCAGGAAAATATTTTAACTTCTATAGGGTGACTCAAAAAAGTGTGAGTGGACCTGGATGCTTTTTTTTAAATGGTACACCCTGTATATTATTGCATTTTTGGCTTCCTTTCAGATCACTTTACATAACGCTAAGATATGAATAAATATATTTCGATAGTTTCAGAGATATTAAAAAAATATTTTAAAATTCTTACTTTGCTATAAATATGGTAATCGTAAATCATACAGGATGTTCAATATTCTACGCCAAACTTTCTAAAATATAAAATATTTTTTCTATGTTTTTTTAAATGGAACACCCTGTATATTATTTTTTTATTAGATCGAGAGTTTAAAAATGAACATTTTTCTCTATTTAGAGTATTTCAAAATTTTTAACGGTTTCGCAGATACACGCAGTATTATTTCATATGGCGCTTTCAATTGTAATACGAGAGATAAATTATTGGATGGCTTTGATAAAAATTTACTGTGGAAAATGCCATATGAAATATAAAACCGCAAATATCTGCGAAACCGTTAAAAATTTTGAAATACTCTAAATAGAAAAAATGTTCATTTTTTAATTCTCCGTCTATTGAAAAAATAATATACAGGGTGTTCTATTTAAAAAAAAACGAAGAAAAATTAATTTATATTTTAAAAAGTTTGGCGTACAATTTTGAACATCCTGTATAATTTACGATTTTAATATTTATAGCAAAGTAAGTACAGACCATCTAAAGTAAATACCTAATATATAGTTTTGATTTCAGAACAGTTCCGGTATTTTTAATAATTTTTTTAAGAAGGGCTGAAAAAAATATATTTTTGATTAATTTTTTAACATCTCTGAAACTATCAACATGTATTTATTCATATCTTAGGGTTATGTAAAGTGATCGGAAAGGAAGTCAAAAATGCAATAATATACAGGGTGTTCCATTTAAAATAAAACATCCAGGTGCACTCACACTTTTTTGAACCACTCTACAGAGGTTAAAATATTTTCATGAAATACATCCTGGTATATACTTTAGCTTTGCACTTAAACAAAATTCTCAAGTTGTTTATTCTAGGAGCTACAGATGCCCGACGCACTATTGCCGGACCCTGTATATGTGTATAAATTTGTAAGAGTCCGGATTCATTCATCACTGACTCATCAACGCCCAGACTAAACCCTTGACCCTAGAAAATTGAAATTTTGCACAGGGGTTCCTTCTATGATGTTTACGTGAGATAAGAAAGGATTTTTTAAAATTCATGTGGAATATTATAATATTCTTTATTTAAAAAACGGTCAAGTTTCCGAAAAAAACGCTTAAACACGTATATTTTATTTTCTATTTTTACATATTTTAAGATTTTTTAAAATGTATACAGGGTGTTTAGAAAAATCTGAGTCATTGATTAATCACGATCTTGCTTAAAGCGCTTGACGTAAATAGCTGATTTTTTGAAAAAACGGATTGACTTTAGGGTGTACAAGGGATTTTTCGAAACTCGAATTCTAAGGGGCTGAAACCACCCCTCAAATATTAGAATATTTTTTATTTAAAAACCGGTGAGTTTTTCGGAAAAACTCTTAAACACGTATATTTTATTTTGTTGTTTTACATATGTAAAGATTTTTTTAAAATTTATACAGGGTGTTTCATAAAATATGGCCATTGAGTAATGACGATTCTGCTTAAACTGCTTGACGTTTAAAGCCGATTTTTGGCAAACAGATTGACTGTGGAGTGTAGAGGTTCGATAAGGAGGGGTTTCTCGAATCTCAAATTACAAGAGGGTGAAAACGCCCCTCAAATCTATAGTAATATATAAAATCCTTAAATGACTCACTGATTAATGACGATCCTGCTAAACCACTCAACGTAAGAAGCTCAGTTTTGGCATACAGGTTGATTATAGGGTGTAGAGGTTCGATAAGAAGGGATTTTTTGAAATTCCAGTTTCAAGGGAGTAAAACCACCCCTCAAATATTACAATATTTTTTATTTAAAAAACGGTCAAGTTTCCGAAAAACGCTTAAACACGTATATTTTATTTTGTTTTTTTACATATTTTAAGATTTTTTAAAAATGTTTACAGGGTGTTTAGAAAAATCTGGTCATTGATTAATCACGATCTTGCTTAAAGCGCTTGACGTAAATAGCTGATTTTTGAAAAACGGATTGACTTTAGGGTGTACAAGGGATTTTTCGAAACTCGAATTCTAAGGGGCTGAAACCACCCCTCAAATATTAGAATATTTTTTATTTAAAAACCGGTGAGTTTTTCGGAAAAACTCTTAAACACGTATATTTTATTTTGTTGTTTTACATATATAAAGATATTTTTAAAATTTATACAGGGTGTTTCATAAAATATGGCCATTGAGTAATGACGATTCTGCTTAAACTGCTTGACGTTTAAAGCTGATTTTTGGCAAACGGATTGACTGTGGGGTGTAGAGGTTCGATAAGGAGGGGTTTCTCGAATCTCAAATTACAAGAGGGTGAAAACGCCCCTCAAATCTATAGTAATATATAAAATCCTTAAATGACTCACTGATTAATGACGATCCTGCTAAACCACTCAACGTAAGAAGCTCAGTTTTGGCATACAGGTTGATTATAGGGTGTAGAGTAGAGGTTCGATAAGAAGGGATTTTTTGAAATTCCAGTTTCAAGGGAGTAAAACCACCCCTCAAATATTACAATATTTTTTATTTAAAAAACGGTCAAGTTTCCGAAAAACGCTTAAACACGTATATTTTATTTTGTTTTTTTACATATTTTAAGATTTTTTAAAAATGTTTACAGGGTGTTTCGAAAAATCTGGTCATTGATTAATCACAAAAGCTGATTTTTGGAAAACGGCTTGACTTTAGGGTGTAGAGGTTCGATAAGAAGGGATTTTTCGAAACTCGAATTCTAAGGGGGTGAAACCACCCCTCAAATATTAGAATATATTTTATTTAAAAACCGGTGAGTTTTTCGGAAAAAACTCTTAAACACGTATATTTTATTATGTTGTTTTACATATTTTAAGATTTTTTAAAAATTTATACAGGGTGTTACATAAAATATGACCATTGAGTAATCACGATTCTGCTTAAACTGGCTTGACGTTTAAAGCTAATTTTTGGCAAACGGTTCGATAAGGAGGGGTTTTTCGAATCTCAAATTCCAAGAGGGTGAAAACGCCCCTCAAATATTACAATATTTATTATTTAAAAAACGGTTAGTCTTTCGGGAAAACGCTTGGACACGCATAATTTATTTTAGGAGGATCATACAAGGTGTTCCAAAAAGTTGGGTAATTGATTAACCACGATTCTGCTTAAACTGCTTGACGTAAAAAGCTTATTTTTGGCAAACTGATTTTTCGAAAGTCAAATTCCAACGAGATGAAACTACCCCTCAAATAAAGTTATATAATAATATCGCCATATTGTTTTTTCTCATGCTGACATAAATGTGAGAAAATTTTATCCAGTTTGTATGTTAATGAGAATTTCCATTAATTTGATAATTTTTTTCCTTTAATTTAATAATTGCTTAGCTTTATCATCACCATTACAAATGATTAATTCGACGCGAACGTAGTCGCGGGTACATGCTAGTAATTAAATAGTTTTGTTCGTACCGTTAAATAGTGTTGTAAGGTACCCAAAACAAAAAAAAAGTATCAAGTGTGGCACATCATTGTACTCAGGAGACCGAATTCTTTCAAAACCTGAAATAAAAAATGCAGATCCGTATTTAAGAAAATTAAGTTGGCCTCTGTATCGCACAAATTATCAGCTAATTTAAAAATCTAAAAATACTATCAGATAGCCCTAATAAAGTGGCTATGAGAATGAGCAATTAGTTTTTTAATTTTCTAAAAAGTAACGACAGAAAACAATAAAATTTATTTTCAAAAAAATCCGTTTTTCTCAAAAAACTCAGCAATCCTTGAAATTTTTTAAGCTTTTTTGATGGCATCTTGGTGAACATTCCAAGGAGCAACTTTGCCCCAATTTAACCATCTTCGTATCTATTACGGTTACCGAGATACCAATACCTCGAATTTGTAGCACCCTGTATAGGGGTGAGCCACTTATGAAAAACATGTATAACCTATAAAAAATGTATACGAAGGAATTAATTATACCTACTTACCAAATAAGTCAAGAAATTCTTATTCACGTCTATTTTTCTTGGAGCACATTCCCTCGAAATTTCCTTTACTATATTACGTACGTATGCGTTTTCCTCGGTTTCCATGATTAAAAATTAGACGAATAACTAACTGTTTGATCAATAACATCCACTTTTACCCAATGGGCATATACAAATATATAGGTTTATGCAGATTACGTAAAAAAATATAAAATGTCAGAAATATAGAAAAATGACTTATAAAATGTCAAGAAATCGTATACAAATGTCATAATACCTATGTATTAATAAATAAAATTGCCATTTAAATAGTTATATTTTAGGTTGCTTAATAGGTAAAATATACAGAGTCGCTGATATGTATGGGAACGGTCGATTATTAGGTAAAATATAAGAGGTACCGCAAAACGTTAAGTATAAAAGTTATGGGGTATCTATTAGTAGGTAATAAATTTAAGTATACAGTGTCGGTCATAAAGTCGTGGCACATCAAAGTTTTATTTCTTTTAAATGGAACTCCCTGTATATTACTGCATATTTCGGTTCTTCCTTCAATACCAAGCAAAAATCGGGATACACACAATGAAGGTACCTGAAATCAACCGTTTCCGAGTTATTGACTTTTGAAAATATCACTTAAACAATTCGATTTAATTAATTTCGATGTGTTCGGTTTCATTTAAGGATGCCATTCAGCGGAAACTGTAAAATACTTAATAATATTTGACATTAGTTTTCAAGTTAGCATTTTTTAACTCTATGTTAGCATTTATGTATACTAATATATAAAATCCTTTTAGTGACTGACGCACTGATTAATCACGATCCTGCTCAAACCACTCATTTAAGAAGCTCAGTTTTCGCATACAGGTTGATTCTAGGGTGTAGAGGTTCGATAAGAAGGGATTTTTCGAAATTCCAATTCTAAGGGGGTGAAACCACCCCTCAAATATTACAATATTTTTTATTTAAAAAACGATCAAGTTTCCGAAAAAACGCTTAAACACGTAGGTACTCAATGGACATATTTTATGAAACACCCTGTATAAATTTTTAAAAAATCTTAAAATATGTAAAACAACAAAATAAAATATACGAGTTTAAGAGTTTTTCCGAAAAACTCACCGGTTTTTAAATAAAAAATATTCTAATATTTGAGGGGTGGTTTCACCCCCTTAAAGTCAATCTCTTTTCCAAAAATCAGCTTTTTACGTCAAGCGCTTTAACCAGGATCGTGATTAATCAGCCAGATTTTTCGAAGCACCCTGTATACATTTTTAAAAAATCTTAAAATATGTAAAAAAACAAAATAAAATATACCTAATCATGTTGACGTTTAAAGCTGATTTTTGGCAAACGGATTGACTGTGGGGTGTAGAGGTTCGATAAGGAGGGTTTTCTCGAATCTCAAATTCCAAGAGGGTGAAAACGCCCCTCAAATATTACAATATTTGTTATTTAAAAAACGGTTAGTCTTTCGGGAAAACGCTTGGACACGCATAATTTATTTTGTTTTTTTACATATTTTAAAATGTTTTAAAAAATCATACACGGTGTTCCAAAAAGTTGGGTAATTGATTAATCCTGCTTAAACTGCTTGACGTAAAGAGCTTATTTTTGGCAAACGGATTTTTCGAAAGTCAAATTCCAACGAGATGAAACTACCCCTCAAATATTACCAATTAAGTTATATAATAATATCGCAATATTGGTTTTCCTCATGACCTCATGCTGATATAAATATGAGAAAATTTTATCCAGTTTGTATGTTAATGGAAATTTTTGCTTTGCTTTATCATCACCATTACAAATGATTAATTCGAAGCGAACGAAGTCGCGGGTACACGCTAGTAGATGTATAAAATGAGATTATATCAAGTCTGGAAAAAAAAACAAACCAAATCAAAATCTTCTTCTTCTTCTTCCTGTGCCTTGTGCTTAGCCGCACGTTGGCGATTGTCTGTACTCTTCATACAATGTGTAGAGTGCCGTTTTCGGCTCTTCGAAATACGGTGGCTGCGTCGCTGATGTTACACCAATCCCGTATGTTTCTTAGCCAGGAATGTTGTTTTCTTCCTGGGCCTCGCCGTCCCTCTATTTTTCCTTGTAGAATCAGCTTAGGAATGTAATATTTGTCTCCTCTAAGGATATGGCCGAGGTATGAGACTTTCCTTTCTTTAACCAAAATCCAAAACCAAAACCAAAATCAAAACTTCATAATTCGGAAATTGTGGAATTTAGGTACATTATGTGTAGGGTAGACCGGGGTCGAAAGTAACAGGCGGCGAAAGTAACAACCCAAATAACTAAAACTATGCGAATAATCATGGCACTTTTGCTAGGTAGGAGAACTGGCAACACACTGCCGGCTACGATATCTCTGCATATTGGCGACATCGGCCTCAGTCTGTAGTCTGTAGTGTACACAAGCCCATATTTGTTTTCGGTGCTCTTTAGTAATATTTTTCCAGTGAGTTTGTAGTCAAACACCAAACATTCTGGCTGCAAGTGTGTAGTTCAACTTGAATGTATTTAGATATATGGGTATAATGTAAGCACTAGTGAATGACTTTTTTGCCGCGGTTCATTACGAAAAATTTAATTTTTTTAAAAAAGTATGATCGGGGACAGTTGTAACATTAGGGTCTGGGGGCGATTGTAACGTGTTACAACCGACCCCGCTATTTTTTTGCTACATTTTGGTTTGTAAATTGGATTTTTTTCTTTTCTAGAATGCGTCGTTCGAAAGTTAGAAGAACTAACCGAGGCTCCAAAGACATCGCAACTTATGAAGATGCATACGCCGATATAAAAAGCGGTATGTCTACTCGGGCAGCGGCAAAGAAACACGACTTATGTCATGTTTCTTTAGGATGGTTCAAAAATTAAAAGAAGGCACTAGAGGCACTTGGTGCAGAGAAAAACAATAATTCAGTTTCCATAGGTTATAGAGCCTGGAACAAAGTTTTTACCCAAGAGCAGGAACAGATTATGGAAGATTATATCGTGAAGGCAGCCAACATTTATTATGGTTTTTGCCCTAAAGAAATTAGAAGGTTTGCATATGAATTAGCCGCCAAATATAAGTTAGCAATGCCACCCCAGTGTGAAAGATAAGCAGATGGCTTCAGAGGACTGGTTCAGCAGATTTATGAAACGACATCCACAGCTCTCGTTACGGTGCGCACAACCAACTAGTTTATCTCGTGCGACCAGTTTTAACGAAGCCAATGTTAATTGTTTTTTTAATAATCTGGAAAAAGTTATGGACAAATACAAATTCGAAGACATATACAACGTGGATGAGACGGGCATCACCACAGTCCAAAAACCAAATAGAATTGTGACTAAAAAGGGAACACGACAAGTGGGAGCATTGACGTCCGCCGAGCGTGGAACATTGGTCACGTTAACCTGCGCGGTAAATGCTGTTGGAAATTTTGTACCCCCAATGTTTATATTTCCCAGGATTCGGTACCAGGAACATTTTATTCGGGATGGGCCAATTGGAAGCACTGGCACCGGAAACGCAAGTGGTTGGATGCAAGATACTGAATTTCTAAAATATTTACAACATTTCCAAAAATATGCATCTGCAACTATCGATCACAGAGTTCTCCTACTTCTAGACAATCATGCGTCTCATATTTCTATTCAAGCCCTGGACTACTGCTCTGAGAACGGTATAGTGGTATTGGCTTTCCCGCCTCATTGTTCACACAAGTTACAACCGCTAGACCGTTCTGTGTATGGGCCTTTAAAGAAGGCAATTAATTGTGGCTGCGATGCATGGATGCGAAGTAACCCAGGGAAAACAATGACGATATATAATATCCCATCCATAGTAACTACAGCCTTTCCGATGGCGCTGACATCAAGTAACATTCAGGCAGGCTTCAGGTGTACGCGAATATTTCCCTTTAATAGACATATATTTACCGCCATAGACTATGCACCCTCTTACGTGACAGATCGGCCTGCAGCAGCAGCTGAGCTAAGAAAAGATCAAGTTCATAAGGCAAATCCAGAAAATGTAGAAAATTACCCTACAACACCTGGCGAAGTGAGAAATAAACACGACGAAACTCCGCCACTAATACCAGTTTCAGATGAACCTGTAGCGTCAACTTCAGTACTTCTTTTAATATTTATAGGAATACATTTTTTTGTGTCTATAGGTACACGATTTTTTACGACTTTTGTACCTGCATTAAATAAATCTATATTGTTGTTGCATTGCTTAGTTTCTTTCACACTGTTACTATCGACCACGCTTAGTGTTATAACCGCCCCGGAGTTGGGGGCGGTAGTAACATTTTGCACCATTTTAATTTTTGGTTAATAACTAGTAACCATATTTATTTAAAAATCTTAATGACATGTTTTTAAATTTATAAAAGATACAAATAACGCATGAACAACCAAATTTGTTCATATCTATTATAGCTCTCCAGAAATTGGTTTTTGAAATAAAAATGTTACTTTGGACCCCGGTCTACCCTATTACGATTATGTCTTTATTTACAGGTCATTGAATATACTACAAAAATCTTCTAATGATATGCAAAAAGTAGAGTTAGGTCACCGAATTTATAGGCGAGTCAATACCCAAAAAGTGAAAGAGAAATATTCAGAATTTGATTTGATTTCTATTTATCAAGTTTCATAAATATACAGACATTTTTATAAAGATACCAAATTTTCGATTAATTTTCCAAAGAACAAAAAATAGAATTTTACTGTCCTGTAGAAGTATAAAAAGATAAAAATGTTAACTTACAGACTACCCGCTTTGAATACGTATAGCAAAAAAAACAAAACAACTTTATAGACTTTCTAAATGATGGAATATACAATATAATCTATAATCTATTAAAACCATTTAATTTTTAAATTATACAAGTTCCATAATTTCATAGTCAATTTTTCAAATTTTAATATATTATAGTTTCCTGTAACCGAAAATCTTACATGTTTGACTGTACGTTGCTAGATGGCACTGAATATCTTACTTCCAGTATAACCACCACTGTTGCCATGTGTTCGCATTATTACTGATTTTAACTTTTTTGAAATTATAATGTAGTGTCTTAAAAATTTTAAGCCGGCGCCACACATTTGGATATTTGTGACAAATATTTGTGTATTTGGCAAATATACGAATATGTGGATGGAACAAATATTTGAACAAAGCGGCAAATTTAGATAATTGCGACAAATACAAATATTTTCCGCTCGAAGTCGGTAAGCTATCACAAATCAAAGGCGCCAAATACTCTCAACTTTGACCGAATCACATATTTGCACCTTTAATTCAGACAGCTTTGCGCGCAATCTTGACGGCATCGGCGCGTGCTGGTGTCTGTTTGTGTATGTTTACTATTGTTTAGTGTGATTAGTGCGTTCACAATGGAGTGGACAAATGAGGTGACAATGGAGTTTTTAGATCTTTATGAAAATGAACCTGCAATTTGAAATGATATGCATCCGCTTCACAGAAATAGAAATGCGGTCTACGACGCGTGGCAAAGAATAGGCCCCTTGCGGGTATTTTTTTATTGTCTTAAAATGATCATTTAGACCCAAAAAGCACCTCTGCAAAATATTTTTAAAATATCTGGTGTATTAATTACGCCGTAATAAATGGTTAAAATTAAAATTCTATTCAGTTACGATTTTCGGCGACATTTTTTACTAATTTTCGAATGCAAAATGATTTATCGATACTGTATGGTACCAGGTTGCAAAAGTACGACACTTTCCACTCCTGGAAAAACATTTAACAATAGCCTATCGAAGAAAAACAGCGAAAAATCTAGCTCTAGAAAATAAGACAGCCTTAAGTTCTTCAAAAATCTATATCTACTTTTGTGAAAACCATTTAATAATTTTTGATTGAATAAGTGGTTCTTTGCTTTTTTGTTGTTGAAATTTCCGAATATTTCAGTAGAACGGCAGACTTTATTCGTTTGTCAAATTTAAAGGTCCCGGGTGAAGTTTATAATCGAAATTATGAAATAATTTGGAAATCTTTTTGGAAATAACATCGTTGGGGTGCTACATGTTGTAATTATAAAGGTCTTTAAGTAGTTTTCAGGTGAAAATTAAAGTATGTGCAAGTAGCCTATATAGAGTCCTCCATCCCAGACCTTAAAAAAAGAAAGAATCTTTGATGGCTAGATTTCGCCAGTGTCAAACGACTAAACCGTCTTCTTCCATTTCCATCGTTGTACTGTGATGATTGTAGTTCCTGAAGCAAATACCCAATTACTATATTTGACCTGATTTGGCCAATATGCGGACAGTTCATTTGTCAAGAAATAAACTAATAAACATATATATGTACAAATACATATTTGTCAAATATCCCAATGTGTGGCGCCGGCTTTAGACATTAAAGCTTTTAGGTTTTCTTTTATATTTAATTTTTAATTAAAAAAAATTGTGTGCTCTCCGTACCCAGGATTTGAAGGACATGTTTGAAAAAGTCTAGATTGAAATGTTGAAAAAGTAATAAATTATAAATTAATAAATAATTTGATTCACTTTCACAAAATTTGCATTGAAATGATCGTCAGACCGTCTGTCCCTCTATCCGTCTGCGAGGACTGTTTGGGTACCTCTATCCATGTGCCGAGTTTGGTTTCAATCGACCCATCCCATAATTAAGAAAAATACTGATGATTTCGTCCATTTAGAGGCAGCTTTTTTTGAACCTGCAAAGTTCGCGACGTTTCGACATCGAGAGCGTCATCGGGGCTACACGATGACGCTCTCGATGTGTCCTCAATTATGCCGAAATCGACCCACATTTTTCTTCAATAGCAAATCCTTAGACCTACCCTGATGAGGTTGTCGAATCCAAACGAAACGTCGTATCCAACTTTGCAGGGTGGGAGCGTGTGTACCATCGTTCACATAGCCTACCCACCAAATTTGGTCGCGATCGGGCGACATCAACTTTTGACGTTTCTTACGTCAAAACTAACTGTCACAGTGACACGCGTGGTACACGGTTAAGTTGGTCTGGGTCCAGTCTATCGGCATACCAAATTTCATTTAAATCGGACGATTTTTTCGCTATTGATGATGGGGTTTCATAGTGCACGAAACGTCCTCAAAATATCATGAAAAGATGTGGCTCTTTGAGCCCCATTGGCCACGGCCACTGACTTCCACCAACTTCCTCTTGGGTTTGTTCCTTCCTCAGTACTATTAATTTTTGCTATTATATTTATAGTTATTAGTATTATTTCTTTGATATCTTGTTCAAAATTTTAGTTTGGCAACATTGTAAGTGCGCCTTTCCAACAGAAGAACAAAAGGAAACTAGTCAGCTGCGTCGCCAGATCTATTGTATTTTCAGTAGACCTATCACTTCCAATACTGAATATGTTGTATAGTTATAATACTCTGTACTTTCATGGAAGTTAATTGAGCATTTGCAGTCTGTGTATGCTCAGAGTTTAAAGGAAAAGGGTAGAGGAGGACACTAAAATACATTTATCGACAAAGTGATAAACAAATTTGGACAGACACAACAAACTCAAATTTTTATTCACAATATTTTCTTCGCAATTTTTATTAATAATATTCTTCTTAAGTTTTTGAGTAATTTCTATTTTCGGCGTCCATGAGATTACTGATTGCATTCTAACCTAATTGATCAAAAAATGCGACTTTTTAAATTTATTATTGTACAGGTATGTGGAGCGGAAGTATAGTTATTTATGTTTTATGTTTAAATATTTTGATTTCAATATACATAGGTATTTGTTTCCCTGGTGAGTTGCAGGTTGTAAGGTCATATCTCATGGAAAGATAAATAGTGTTCTCGAAGACTATTTAATTAAAAATTAGTATATTGTTTTGAGGAGTAAGAACAATAATTTTTCGTGGCGAGGCTGTACGTTTCACATATGAGTTTGAAAATATATTTTCATACTTGGTCGTACATGAGGGCTAATGGCTAATCGATATTCGGAATTTTGGAGTTGCGCTATTGCGCCAATGTCTGCCTAACAGACGAACTTATGTGAAATATACCGTATGATCGAATAAAAACGGCGTCAGCGATGGCTATGAAATGAAGATCGCTGTCATTTTATATGTAAAATTATATTGGAAATGTCATCGATCGTCATTTCCAAGCCAACTGGACGCCATTTTTTTTCGATCATACGGTATATGGACCGGTTATCTAGTTGTCTCTAACTCGACTTCAACTCCAACACATTGCAGGGATAGGCGATAATCTGTTTATAGTTTGTATGTATATGGTGACTACTTTAGAACTACTAGTTGTTTTTGAATTTTCCACTAATTTTTGAAATATTTTATATTTTTTATTGTCAATTGTTATTCTTGTTTGTCTACTTTATTTATGTGTATTTATTTCTATTTTATGATAATTAGTGTTAAGTTTTTGTGATTCCATTTTAACGATATTCCATGCCTGCGGCGTTTTGTAATTTAAGTTTGGTAGCTATAGGGTTCTTGGTACTCGATGTAAGTTTTAATTGGGAACAAATAAATTATTATCTACTTTGAAAATCTACGTTTATTTTAATCTGCAATTTTTGTAGAATCTACTGCAAAACCAAAAATCAGTTTGGCAACGCTGCCAGTCAGTTTCGTCCGTTTTCCAGTCCGTTTTTAACGACAGTTTGTGATCGGCTGGTACAGCGTAAAGTTATTGCCCGTTTCGTTCGTGAATGCATTGAGGAAAAAATTGAGTGCAGTGAAGGCAGTATGCATTTGACGATAGTTTCGTGAAATATGGCCGTTATCCTGATTCACTATGTTTGTTTTTTGATACTGCTCGTGTGCCAAGGTATTCACAATGAGGATAATATACTAAGTGCAAATACAAGTAAGTTACTGTTCCTTGTTCTGTAGAGATAAGTAGGTACTTTAAGTGATTTTTAATTTTGCTTTAAATTTTGCCTGTGGCTCTTTGTGTTACAAAATAAATGCATAATAAAGGAATAATAATAAAATAACCACTTAGTAACTTAATCGAGTAGCAATATAACAGTTTACTATTGACGTTTACACTTTACGCAAACTGTGCTTAATAACAATAATGTCGTATCTGAAAAATTAAAAAAGAACATCTTAAGGTGTTAAAAAATTATACTAAATTAATTAATGATAATAATTAATTATATTTTTACAATGTTTTGAAGTCCATTAATATAATATTTTCAGATTACCCTGAGTAGTTAAGTATTTGATCTTCATATTTAATGTAAATATTGTTTTTAAGATAACTCTTTAAATCTGAGATAAACAAAACGGAAAGTAAGTAGATAAATACGGTATATTTTTAGGTCAAGAATTTGATGCATTTTTAGAAAACACTTACGTACATAGGTACTATAGTACTTATTAAGTTTTTATGAACGATTATTTTTTGATAAATGTTAAATTTAATAGGTATCTGCGAAGCTATCTAGTTATAATCAGACTGATATTGGACTTAATAAGAAGGCTATTACGGAATAAAATATACCTTCTTTTTTCTTTTGATATAGTCTTCCCCAAAGCTCTGATTTAAATTCTTTTTTATATATGTAGGTACTTAGATTACCATTGGGGTTGGAACCTTTGGTGTTACAACAGCAAAATAAAACACTAATTCACCACAATGCACCAATAATACACTTTTACTTTAGGGTTGCCAACCGCCCTCTATTCCAGAATTCCAGAGGACAGTTCTTCTTTCTTGATTGGTTTTACGGCCTAAGCTGCCAGGACTATACAGTCAAGAATAGTCCTCTATTTGATCTCACTGTCCTCTTTTCTCTCGCATATTGAAAAAGTTCTCTTTTTTATTTTAAGATTACCAAACGCAAAATCTAAAAAATGTGTGTGTACCTCGGTGTGTACCTATCGCCACAATGCTTTACAAAATTATTAATCTGTGTCTTTCGCAACTCCCACTCGTTTGTACAGAAAAGAAGTTCAAGATTTATGTAAAAGAAAAGTATTTATGCAAAAGAAATGTTTGTGGAAGCGATAAACATGTTTAACTATTTTATGTTTGCTTATTGTTGGCTCATGTTTTGAAAAAAGTTTTGTTGAAAATGGTTTGTTTTATTTTAACAAGTTTTGAGTATAAATGTTAAGAAAGTAAGAAAAGACCATCAATCGCATACATAACGATCGATTGACATAACTTTTTGGTAAATTCTAGACATTTGGGCGAGGTTTCAAAAAATGTTTCACCTGTGCCTCTTTTTTACTCTCTAGTCCTCTATTTTTTATTTTGAAAGTTGGCAACCCTATTTTACTTTTGCACTGGTTTCGCTAACCATGTTAGCATCATCAGCAGATGATTAAAACTGAAACCAGTTTTGTAGTAAGACACCCTCGTTTGCTATAGAATCTATGCCAGTGTTCTCTAAAAACCAATATCATGCGGTCGAACAAAAAACGGCGTCAAAGACGCCTGGGTAATGAAAATCGATGATGATTTTGGCGAGGTCAAGTCCAAGACCCATTATAAATGTCTCTTCTCACTTCTGTATACCTAAAACATGTGAAAAACTCGATATACCTAAATCGACCCAACTTTTTTTGAAAAACTTATATTTACGACCACGAATATACCTATTAGCTAAACTATACGCGAACACCCTGTATACACACAATTGCAATAATTACATAATTAGATAATTATTAGGTAGGTATATTGTTTTATTCTTTTGAAAGATACTGAGTTAGTTCTTTAAAAACCTAAAGTAAAAGTGTCATACATTCACTAGATCAACCATACCATAAACCATAACCTTAGATTAAATCGATATGAACACGGACCACGGACATTGTGTCAGACTGACATGATTCATATTTAATGCAGTCGATTCAACTAAGTCTCGACATAAGTGTTAATTGTCTTAATGAGAATGTCTAGGCATAAAACATATAAGAAATAATCCGACCTTTTTGATACGATATGTTATTGGATTGTTTTTTTTTAAGTTATATGTATAGAGAGAAGTACCATACGACCGAAAAAAACGGCTTCAGAGATGGCTTGGAAATTAAGATTGCTGTCATTTTATATGTAAAAGTGGTCATCGATTGTCTTCCAAGTAATCTTGACGCTGGACTGTAACCAGTTTTGTATGTAATAAGGTCTATTTTATCTTATCTTGCATCTACCTAATATCTAAATTGAAATCTGAATATTTACAATCAGACTGCTTTTCCCAAAACAAAATTTTTCACCAACGCCTAAACCTAGGTACCATTTGTTGTCATGTAGAATGTAGAATGTTTAGGAGGTGAGTTAATCACCGCGACCTTAGAGATCTCTGTTGTGTGTTCCCTTTTCTTGAGTTATAACGAGCTTTAATTCATCATACAGTCTTTAACACAATCCAGTATCTGAGACGGCTACACACAGTGGCCAGCTCTCCATCCTCGACATCAGCCGTACCAAAGTTCATGGCACGAACGGTCGTCGTCTCGGAGTACACAAGCACATAAGGTGTTTTGGTATTTCCCCATTTTCCCCACAGAATGTGCATTCGCCGTTGTTTCTCAGCTTCAGCTTACTGAGGTGTTCGTTGAGGAGTCAGTGTCCTGTTAGAAACCCCGTGTCAATCCGAAAATTGTTTTTACTTAAATCAAGGAAAATCTTTGATTTTTTTCGGTAGTTCTAAGGAACTTTTTTGAGTGTCTTAGACCATTGAAGGACTCCCCATTCCAGGTTACGGATGGAGTCTTCCGCTTTTAGTTGGTTTCCGCTTGGAAAACAGAAGGGTTCTGGTCCAGGTAGTGGGAGTGTTCGCTCCTTTTCTAGCTAGATCGTTTGGTTTTTCATTGTCTTCTATCCCTTGGTGAGCGGGCACCCAGAGTAGGAGGACTTTATTTTCTTCGCCTAATTTGTTCAGCTTCTCTAGGCATTCTTTGACCAACTTCGAATTGATGGTTACTGAGCTGATCGCGTTTATTGCTGCTGGACTATCGGATAAGATGGCTATTTCCTGTTATCTAAGATAAATTGTACGCATCTTTCGATAGCGTAGATTTCTGCCTGAAGGATGCTGGGGTCTTAGATGCCCATTGATTCGAAGTATTTAGTTTTCGGCCCAAATACTGCTATTCCCGAGGCTATCCCTGTCCCTGCTTTGGTTTTGGAAGCATCGTATACCACGTTATGGTATGGTCTTTTACATGCTGTCAAAGTTGTAAATTCTTAGTATGTCATCCACTGGAAGTTGGAGAAGTGGAATTTTCTTTTTGAGGTTGTTCCAAGCCCTTGACCTGAAAATTCTCCCAGTACTGTTTCCGTCAATGACCCTTCTAATCATTGTCGCATTGGCATAACTACTGACGACAACGTGCAATGGTGTTAGGTCTAGGATAACCTCCATTACTGCTGTTGGGCATGTTCTCATGGCACCTATGATGCAGATTCATCCCAGTCTCTGTACTTTGTACAGGTTTTGCCTCGCTGTTGTCATAATCGGATATATTTTTAAATATTTTTTTAATGAAAATTTTCCGAGAATTTTTCTTCATTTAGGTACTCGTTTAACAGCTACAAAGACAAGTTTCTTTTTTGAAATAAACGATAAATTTCGACAGAGATGGCCCTAAATTCACTAAATTTTATTACTTTGTAGTTGCTTGATTAGATTTTTCGAGGTGGCTATCAGCCTTATCCACTGCGATCTTTCCAGATCTATTGTAGTCCTCTTCTGATCCTTAGGTTACATACTCCAGTCTTATTCTTTTCACAAAGTCTAGCAATTTGGAGACTGAATCCTCCACATAGCTCCCTGTTAATGGTTTATCATTGTCCATTACAAATTGACAGAGCCTGCACATGGCTTTGTCTGTCAATCAACTTAGCTTTAGATGCCTATTCAGCTGATAATGTTAGTAGACCCACTACAGCTTTGAACGAAGCTTTGACTGTTTTTTGTCTTTGTTTATCTGGTCTGCCGTGAATTCTGGCAAATTTTATACTATGAACGTTTTAGTCTCTCTCTGCCCTGGTGAATTTCTCGACCATTTTAGAGATTTATTTTGGCAACCCATCGTTTTGTGACCATTCTCCTGACTGTTTTTGCAGCGATGCAGACACAAAGAGAAGCTTGTCCCATTAAAAATTATGCATTCTTTCCGATTATAATAAAAAAAATATATCATTGCCCCGAAAATCAGTTTTGATGACGACCTATTCGCCATTTAAAAAAAAACTCGAATTGACGGTATACGAAAAAAATACATTCTAAGTTTTTGGACCCCAATGACCAACACAGTATTTTTACTTTAGGTTTTTTTGTTATCTCAAGGCAACAGGTTTGAACCACCCTGTACAATTTCACAATATCCAGTGTAATTTCATCTCGATCATACTTATAAAGTAAGATCACGGTGCGAAATGTGTGCCAACACCTTATATGGCCAGATCGGCGAATTTCTTAAGGCTTTATGTATGTCTAGATTAAATTTTGTAGTTATTTTACAGAGAGGAATAACTGAAATCACAAGTATAGGGAGGTCATTGTTATGTATTAGTGTGTCTGACTTTAATGTTTTAATTGAAGTTTCAATGTTTAAACCTCGGTTTAAACACAGTAAATAGTAACAGCGAATTGTGTTGTAACAAATCTGTGAAAGATAAGCCGCGCAAATGTTATGTTGGAGACTATCATTACATATAATAATACCATTTTACAACCTGTAATGTGATTTGCCTAGACTGAGAATAAGAACAAATTACCACACATCATTACCACAGGTCATTACCACAATCGGATCAATTGTACCAAATTAGACGATTTTATCAATTCAATCAATTGCACAAAATCAGTCGATTGCTAATCCAATCAGTTTTATCAAACCAATCCA